ATATATTGTATCTGAGTTCACAACACACACACACACACATCACACACACACCACACACACACAACACACACACACCACACACACACACCCACATTAACTTGTATACACATCTGTTTATCTTATTGTCCTCTCCCTTCTTCAACATACACGCGTACACACATATATACTGTATTAAGTACACAACTGTATACTTACCGCTGACCGTCTATCCCCCGCTCTTTCTCTTTCTCTTCTCTCACACACACACACACACACCACACACCACACACACACACAGCACACACACCACACAGCCAACGCACACACACACACACGAACGTAGCCATTAGTGAAATAAGGCCTTTCTTTTGTATATTCCAAACCCATTCTTCTCACAATATTCTGTGCGTCTGATTACCTTCTCTTTACTATATTTCTCACTATAATTTACCGTTTGTGGTTGCTTACTGATGACTCCCTACTTGTCTTTTGATGGGTTCTCCCTCTCTCTCTCTCTCTTTCGTCTTCTTTCTTTCTTTCTCTCATCTGCCTTTCTGGTCTCTGTCTGTCTGTCTCTGTCCTCTGTTCTCTGTCTCTGTCTCGTCTCTGTTCTCTGTTGCTGTTGTCTGTTGTCTGTCTGTCTGTCTGTCCTGTCTGTCTGTCTCTCTCTGCTGTCTCTCTTTTCTCTCTCTCTCTCTTCTCATCTGATGTTCGTGGTCTCTCCTCTCTCTCTCTTCTCTCTTCTCTCTCATCTCTTCGGCGTCTCTCTGCTGCTTTCTTTCTCTTTTTCTATCTTTTTTCTGCTCTCTCGCCTCTCTTCCCTCCCCCCGTCTCTTTTCTCATTTCCACTCTCCCTCCTGCCTCTCCGCTTTTTCCTGCTCTCTCAGTCCCTGCCCTCTCGCATCTCCATATCCCTCTTCCCTCTCACTTCGTCTCTTCCTCTCCCCTCCTCTCCCTTTCCTCATGTGTGCTCCTGCTCATTCTCTCTCCATCTCGCCTCTTCCCTCTTCCTGCTTCTTCCTCATCCTCTCCTCCTTCCTCCCTTCTCGTCATCTCTCTCTCCATCTCTTATCCACAATTCTCTCTCCTCTCCATCTTACTCACTGAGTAAATTTGAGGTTCAGCGTATTTGTTACCAAGTCGAGGGTCATTTGAGGAGATGAGTCTATCGGTCAACTGCGTGTCAGATGTCACTGTGAATGACTTGACATCACGATGCTGTCCGGACCAATTTGTGGGGGGGAGGGTTGACATGACCAATGGTGCCTTTGGTGTCGCTATTCTTTCTGTCTGGTTAAGGAAAAAAAATCTTCTTTTGTTTTATTTATGTTCTTTGAAAAAATTCCTGTTTCATTTTTTTTCTTTTTTTTCTTTTCTTTTCCTTTTTTTCGTTTTTTTTTTTTTTCTTCTTCCTTCTTCTGTCCGATCGATTTATTTATCGTTCACTTAATCCTTTTTTTTTTTTTTTTATTCGCTTTCTCTCGTGCACTGTGGTGCATCGTTTATACAAAAAAAAATCTGCTCTTACTCTTGTCTACTCTCGTTCTGCGATCCCTCTCCTTCTCCCCTTCCCTCCTCCCTCCTCCCTCCTCTCTCCATCGCTTCTCTCCTCCCTTTCCCAACTCCGTCTACGCACTCCTCCCTTCTTCGGCTCAATCTCCCCTCCTCCTCGCTCTCTACTCCTCCTCTCCCTCTGCGCTCCCATTCCCCTCCCCTCCTCTCCTTCATCTGCCCTCCTCCCGTTCTCACTTAAATACTTATAAATCACTACTTTACGTCGCGCACATGCTGGACAAGCAGAAGGAGGATGTGTTACTTCACCTGGAAATAGAAACAGAACAATTAAGAATGTTATTTAATAGAAAATTGAGATGGACAATAGAATACATGAAAATTGGAGGATAACAAAATTATATTGATAGCTAATGACAATTAGAGAAGATACTGATGGAATTCATAAGATTGAAAATGGAGTAAAACATCAAAAATAATTTAAGAGATAGTGATAATGATCGATAGAATATTAAATGATAGATGAATAATAAGAATAAGAGATAAAGAAAGAGGAACAAGAGAGGAAGAGCGTTATTAAGAGCTATCAAGCAAGTGATAGAAAATAACAAATCAGGGGCATAAAATGAACGAAAGAAGAGAAAGAAAAAACGACTAGACATAATAGATAGATGACATAGAAGAAAGAGAAGGAGAGAAGACAGTTTTATAGAAGGTCCTTCAAAACAGATAGTGAAATAAAAAACGAGGTACAAGATGAACAAAAAAAGATACAAAAAGAAAAAAAAAAATGACATCTAGCAAATATTTCCAAGCCAATCAGGCACATCTCGCGGACAGGGGGGTGGGGGGGATGGGAGGGGTGGTTGTGGGAGTAAGAGGGAAGGGGGGTTGGAGGAGGGTGGGGAGGGGCGGGAGGGGGACTTTAAAAGCGTGAGGGGAGGGGGAGGGGGATGGAGATATTTGGGTGGTTGTAGAGTGGGGCGGGGGGGGGGGTAAGGGGTTATGA